CAGCATCTAAGTTATCAGCAGGTATCACAGCTGAATCAAACAGTAGGCTCCAGGAAATGATCGTAAAAATTGCAAAGCTCTCGATTTTTAACTAAATTCTCCTTGTCAATGTCATAGGAGGCTATTTCTGGACGTTATGAATGTTTGCGCATGAGTTTTACTTTACTGCTGCTTTTTCAGTTTCTCACTGGATAACGCTATTATTGTGACGAACTCTCACCGCTGGCCATTGATGATCGACCCTCAAGGTCAGGCAAACAAGTGGATCAAGAATATGGAGAAACCAAACAACTTACAGGTTAAGACTTTTTAGTTTAGGACAGTAGGCGAGCCCCTATTATTGAGCTGACACTCGGTTTTGAGCGGACATTAGCTTAACTTCCACAAGACTGATCTGCATGGAAAATGATTATGATATTCTTTGAACGTTTTGTTCCAGGTGATAAAATTGTCAGACCAGAATTACGTGAGGACTTTGGAAAACTCCATTCAGGTAAACGTTGTTTTTTTTCCTGAATCAGTGAGCATTGGGTTAGGATCGTTTTCATAACAGTCAAGTGAGGGGAAAACAAGGACATACTGGATTACATCCGAAAGTCAGTTAAAATTTGTTGTAAAGTTTTATCTGTTTTCTCTTTTGTGATAGTTTGGAACGCCAGTTCTCTTAGAGAACGTCGGGGAGGAGCTGGATCCCTTACTGGAGCCTATTCTGTTGAAACAGACGTTCAAACAGGTTGGTTATTCGCCGAAAAGGACTGGGTTTTTAACATTTTGACCCTCAAGAGTGATTAGCTTCTTATTTCTCCTTTTAATATCCCCCCCCGGAATTACATAAAAGTCACGAGAATAAAGGAAATGATCGTCAACTAAAGATTCTCTTGATAGTTGTAAACGATTGTCAGCAACTTAGGAAATGTTAAGTGAACAGTATGGAGAATATACATACTGATGTTGAGGTGTAAAGAGGTATGACGCGGTATATCATGTCCATCGGTATTGTAGTTGGTCATATTCGAAATGCTCTTCATTTTATGTGTGAAATTTTGTAGGGCAGGTAGTTACTCTTCCTGGCTGGGATGCTGTTTGATTGCAGTTTAACCCCCCCACCCCCATCCCCTCCAGTTCAGCATTTCGTCAGGGGTCCTGGGGAGGCACCCTTTCATTTATAGCCTTGAGTTAAGAGAGGCAGTTTAAGAGTAAAGTGTCTTATTCATAACTCGAATCCCTACCTCTCTATCTGGAATCCAGAGTGCTTTACTATAATTAACAAGTAAACAATGGTTGTTTTCATGTAGGGTGGAGTCGAGTACTTGCGCATGGGTGATCATGTGGTTGAATTTAGTAGGGTAAGTTCAACTTACTTCTTAATTATTGGTTAAATTGGAGGTTTGCTCTCTTGGGAAGAGGTTTCACGTTCCGCATCAGGGATACCCAAAGAATACTGACACGTTTGCCCTGAGGTTCATGTCGTGTATCGTTTGGTTGTTACACAGATAAGTTAGAA